GCTGTTGTGCGGAAATCTCCCGCCGCTCCGATCATTCTGAAGTTTCCCGCCCTGAATGACCCGACCAACCGTCCCCATGAACTGCCTGAACGTGGCTGATGTCATGCCCGGATCACTTAACAAGATCAGAGGGCAAATCCAGGTTAGTACCTACCCCATTGTACAAGTGGGGGGGCTTTCATTGTACCCCGCCCCAGATAAATTATTATGGGGGGCAGATATATAATTTATGGGGGTGATACATTATTATAGAGGGGGAGAAGGGCAGACAAACTATCATTTGGAGGGGGCATTTTTATAGGGATGAGGGGCAGATTATTTGGGGGGGTAATCATTATTGGGGGCAGATGTATTTTTATGGGGGTGATAGATCATTATAGAGAAGGGGGCTAATCATCATTATTGGGGACAGATGTATTTTTATGGGGGTGATAGGTCATTATAGAGGGGGGTGGGGTAATCATCATTATTGGGGGGCAGATGTATTTTTATGGGGGTGATAGGTCATTATAGAGGGGGATGGGGTAATTATTAGGGGGCATATGTATTTTGATGGGGGTGATAGGTCATTATAGAGGGGAGTGGGGTAATCATCATTATTGGAGGCAGATGTATTTTTATGGGGGTGATAGATCATTATAGAGGAGGGGGCTAATCATCATTATTGGGGACAGATGTATTTTTATGGGGGTGATAGGTCATTATAGAGGGGGGTGGGGTAATCATCATTATTGGGGGGCAGATGTATTTTTATGGGGGTGATAGGTCATTATAGAGGGGGGTGGGGTAATTATTAGGGGGCAGATGTATTTTGATGGGGTGATAGGTCATTATAGAGGGGAGTGGGGTAATCATCATTATTGGAGGCAGATGTATTTTTATGGGGGTGATAGATCATTATAGAGGAGGGGGCTAATCATCATTATTGGGGGGCAGATGTATTTTTATGGGGGTGATAGGTCATTATAGAGGGGGGTGGGGTAATTATTAGGGGGCAGATGTATTTTGATGGGGTGATAGGTCATTATAGAGGGGAGTGGGGTAATCATCATTATTGGAGGCAGATGTATTTTTTATGGGGGTGATAAAAATATTTCACAATATATAATTACATATTGTTTTTGTGAATAATCACTATGCTTTAATTATGTTCAATTTGTAACAATGAAAATATATCCTGCATATCAGATATTTACATTACGATTCATAATAATAGCAAAATTACAGTTAGCAATGAAGTAGCAATGAAAATAATTTTATGGTTGGGGGTCACCACAACATGAGGAACTGTATTAAAGGGTCGCGGCATTAGGAAGGTTGAGAACCACTGCTGTAGAGGGTGGCTATGTTTGCTCTGCATGGTCCCTCTGTATGTAGGAACATAGCCACACTCTCTTCACATCTAAGAAGGACTATGGACTATGGGATTTGTAGTGTGCATAGAGCAGTGCACATGACTGCAACAAATATGCATTGCTTTGACCCATGAAAAATGCTTTGTGGCCCCCCACTTAGGCTGGGAAGGTCCAATGACCTTGGATGCCACTGACTAGTGAGGGTGTAGGCTAGGGAAAGTTTTATCCAGCCCCAGAGCACGTTGTAGACGTAGAAAGAGAAAGCATGGCTGCCGCTCACCTTGCCTGGCCCGAGTGGTTGGCAGGTAAAAGCGGCCCTCTTCTCGATTCAACCAAGCCATGCCCCAACGCGTTTCGCCCCACCCCCGTTCCAAACAAATGGAATTGAGAGGGGAAAAGGAGAAAAATGGAAGCTCATAGAGGATATCACAAGGAGGCAGATAAACACAGTAATCAGCTATTTCATAAAAAATACTGTAGATTGCAGGGACATAAGGTGATGGATGTGTATAGATTATTTTTGTAAAAAAAAAATTATATAATTTAGTGTCACTATAAGTTAGAATGGGGGGGCTGTGACCAAACTGTAATGCTTAACCGCAGTGGAGGTCAGGGACCTAATTATGCTATTGGGGTATCTGGATAAAAAGGCTGACTGGTAGGCAGGTGCAGGTAGTTACTTTCCCACTAGGTGGCTCTGTACCAGAATAGTGGCTGGTACAGCAGGTAGTGACACTGGGTGTTAGGCCCCTTTTAGGCAGAGCCCTCCCTCAGTGATGTCAGGGGTGAGTCAACATTCATATATAAGTCAGGTGGGGAGGAGCACACACACGGTTGGGGCATGCAAGCTAAACACCCCACATCCATGAGGATGTAGCCAGCACACATAGGCCCTGGACAGAGCAGGAGGCTGGGTGGACCTATACACAGATGGAGAAAGCTATAGTTGTTCTGTCCCTTATGGAGGTGGGGGTTAGGTCCTGGACAGAGCAGGAGGCTGGGTGGAAAGGACCTGTATGCAGGAGGAGCTAGCGGTAGTCATTCTGTCCCTTATGGAGGTGGAGGGCTAGGGCAGATTGTAAAAGGCCTTTTAGACCAGGCTGGAGATCCTTAGGTGAGGCTGCTTCCCTGGAGGGTCCCCGGGAAAGATGTACCTAGCAAGGAGGTGACTGCAGAAAGCACAGTCCTGTGAGTACTAATGATCCTGGGCAGAGGAGAGACTTGTAAGGGATGTGGCTTTTGAAGTGCTTCACATACTTTCACTTGTGATTTCTGCGGACTGCCCACTGTGATTGTGTAATGTTAAGTAACTCTGCAATGTATGTCCGTTTGATGTGACTGTAATGCTGTTTCCAGAAGACCACCAGTAAAGTACAGCAAAACTATTTTGTGCGTGGACATTCCTTCCATTAGGGATACAAAGGTCTATGAACGGGAACCTATGGCAAGGAGCACGGCACAAGATAGCGGCAGGTCGGGGCTCAGCAGTAGGAACAGTGTTCTACTAGGGATGGAATGGGGGAAGGGAATGTGCTTTGGTGCCAAATCAGCCAACCATGTACACACTGGATTGAATGCCATATCTTCTGGCAGGTGAAACATTTACCATATATGTATTTCCTGGAGTTCATCATGATAACCTACCATTGGCTCAGGTCTACCCCAATGGTAGGCTGACATGATGAGCCTCCAGAAAAAGAAAACTATGGAAAGTACGGATAACAATTTTCCATATTTTCCTGAATCTTCTGTTTGAGAGACCAAGATTTAGGATACTGCAAGCCTGTCTATCTATTGTATCTGATGTTTGCACACACATACACAGTTTAGTGAACCCCAAGGCAGTAATTGGTTCCATCAAACAGTCTACGTCTGGATACTTCCAGTCCTTCCTTTCACCTGGGTGAAATCTTAGAACTCGGGATTTCTCTTTGAGTGAGAAGTACACAGCCAGGGTTAAGAGAGTTTCCTATTTTTCCTTTATTAAATTGTTTTTTTCTCAGAAGTATCTGATAAATTCCACCGTCCGTACCCTGCTCCATATTCATCTCCGTACACATCTGACGCGTCTGATGTTGGCGCAGCCCGGCGCTCTGTAGTCCGGCCACTTGTCTTATTTATGAGTCTCTTACACGGACGGATGTTTTTCATCTCTCCCCGCTTTTATCTGATTACAAGACTTCAGAAACGAAAATGCTGAAAGTCTTTGGGTTTTGCTTGCAAAAAGGAAAGGGAGAGTAAAGCAAAACTGAGGTTTCTCAAACTCCCGAGAAAAAAAAGTCAACTGGTAACAAGCGAAGTGAGATCTCCTAGTAGTGGCGCATTGAAACAACACCGAGATCACTTTTATCTTTCCAAGTTCACGCTGAGTTTGCCGAGGAACCGGCTGAAAAATATTAGAGTTTTGGAACCTTTGTATGTTTTCATTTTTGACTGCACAAGTGACCCAATGACCGTTCTTTACAGCAGTGTCCAGCAGAAGACCATCTCTAGATAAAAGCCTACACAGCTATGGGAGAGTTGACTTTTTTCTTTTCTGATTTAGACTTTGCGATGAGAAAATGGCAATCCACAGGAGCTAAGACTCAAACATTTTTGTTGCGGTGTCCTGAAATATATATAAACCTAACCACTAAAATCTCATTGAAACGTTAAAGTGGAATTCCTCCCAAGACCTAACTAATGCAAAACCAGCTCCCACCCCATTCTAAAAACCAACTCCCACCCTTCTAAAAACCAGCTCCCACCCCATTCTAAAAACCAACTCCCACCCCAATTCTAAAAACCAGCTCCCACCCCCATTCTAAAAACAACTCCCACTCCCACCCCCATTCTAAAAACCAACTCCCACCCCATTTTAAAAACCAACTCCCACCCCATTCTAAAAACCAGCTCCCACCCCCATTCTAAAAACCAACTCCCACCCCATTTTTAAAAACCAACTCCCACCCCATTTTAAAAACCAACTCCCACCCCATTCTAAAAACCAGCTCCCACCCCATTCTAAAAACCAACTCCCACCCATTCTAAAAACCAGCTCCCACCCCATTCTAAAAACCAACTCCCACCCCATTCTAAAAAACCAACTCCCACCCCCATTCTAAAAACCAACATCCCCACCCCCATTCTAAAAACCAACTCCCACCCCCATTCTAAAAACCAGCTCCCACCCCCATTCTAAGCCTAATCTCCCATCTGGTCCCAGGCTGAGCTGTCAGCAGCAGGTACTGTGTACAGCTGCGGCAGCTGACAACGGATGCCACAAAGAAAGTCTATGGGTGATGTCATCTCCTCTTCATTTCTCAGCCATTGTTGTCTCTCTTTCTATACAAGCCACCATTGGACACCGTCAGTATTCCTCCCACTGACACTGGTAGGGGCACTATTCCTCCCACTGACACCAATATTAGGGACACTATTCCTACCATTGAAACCAACAATGGAGCACTATTCCTCCCACTGACACCAATGATAGGGGCATCATTCTTCCCACTGACACAAACAATAGGGACATTATTTCTCCCACTGACCCCAAGGATAGGGGCACTATACCTCCCACTGACACCAAGGATAGAGACACCATTCCTCCCACTGACACTAAAAATAGGGGAACCATTCCTCCCACTGACACTAAAAATAGGGGAACCATTCCTCCCACTGACACCAACAATAGGGACACTATTCCTCTCATTGATACCAATGATAAGGCACTATTCCTCCCACTGATAACCAACAATAGGGCATATCCTCCCACTGACACCAATGGTGGAGCACTATTCCTCCCACTGATACCAACAATAGGGGCACTATTCCTTCCACTGACATCAACGATAGGGGCACTTTTCCTCGCACTGACACCAATGATAGGGGCACTATTCCTCCCATTAACACCAGTGATAGGGACACTATTCCTCTCCCCACTGACACCAACGATAGAGGCACTATTCCTCCCACTGACACCAATGGTGGAGCACTATTCCTCCCACTGACACCAAAAGTAGGAGCACTATTCCTTCCATTGACACCAGTGATAGGGGCACTATTCCTCCCATCTTTCCTCTAGCACTCTTTGTATACAAAATGACCACAACATAATTATCATTTATTTAGTCACCATGATTCTTACTTCCTGACATACATTTAAAATATTACCTCTGGTCAGAGAGTGGCCAACACAAGAAGTAAAGCCTTTCTCCAAGTTATTCTTTTTCCTCTATCCACCTTTTTCCTTCATTAAATCCAGGGCTGCTGATCTCTTGCAGCCACTTTGTATCTGTTCAGAGAGTGGCCATCAGAAGAAGGAAAGCTTTGCTCCAAGTTTCCTTATTATTGTTGGTATCAGTGGGAGAAATAGTGTCCCATCATTGATGTCAGAGGGAGGAATAGTGCCTCTATCATCATTGGTGTCACTAGGAGAAAAAAGTGCCCCTATCATTGGTGTGAGTAGGAGGAATAGTGCCCCATCATTTGTATCAGAGGGAGGAATAGTGCCCCATCATTGGTGTCAGCGGGAGGAATAGTGCCCCATCATTGGTGTCAGCGGGAGGAATAGTGCCCCATCATTGGTGTCACTGGGAGGAATACTGCCCCATCATTAGTGTCAGTAGGAGGAATAGTGCCCCTATCGTTGGTGTCAGCGGGCGGAATAGTGCCCCTATTATTGGTGTCAGTGGGAGAAATAGTGCCCCATCATTGGTGTCAGTGGTATGAATACTGCCCCATCATTGGTGTCAGTGGGAGCAATAGTGCCCCATCATTGGTGTCAGTGGGAGGAATAGTACCCCATCATTGGGTGTCAGTGGGAGGAATAGTGCCCCATCATTGGTGTCAGTGGGAGGAATAGTGCCCCATCATTGGCGTTAGTGGGAGGAATAGTGCCCCATCATTGGTGTCAGTGGAGGAATAGTGCCGGTCTCCAGAAGCGCTTCTGTATAAAGAGGAAGCTGAATAGAAAATGAATAAGAGATATCACCTTAGACTTACTATGAGGGATCCATTGTTGGATGCCTCTGTTCTACACAGAAGCCACCACTGACAGCTCACCCTGGGACTGTTCCTATACTTTGGAATCTTGTATACAGCAACTTTTTGGTTTGTCACATTTATTGCAGATGCTGTACTTTTTGTATTATCGCAAATAACATTTTTGAACAAGAAGACACTTCTTATATTGGTTGCATTTCTCAACCAGGGTTTCATGGAACTCTAGGGTTCCTCCAGAGGCTGCTTGGGGTTCCTATACTAATGAGCAATTTCTGCCTCTCAGATAGGTTCCCACTGACACCATTGATCTTTTTAGCAATCTGTAAGGGGTAATTCTTCCCACTGACCACAAGTGTAAGGAGCTTCCCGCTGACCACGCACTAATGTATCATGAGTTGTAGATAGCAGGGGCGGACTGACCATTTGGAAACTCGGGCTCTGCCCGAGGGCCCGAGGTCAGTAGGGGGCCCCATGAGATGCCCCTGGTACCTTTTTCATAGGCTTTTTTTGAGATAGTGCTCTATCATTGGTGTCAGTGGAAGGTATAGTGCTCTATCATTGGTGTTAGTGGAAGGTATAGCGCCCCATCATTGGTGTCAGTGGAAGGTTATAGTTCCCCATCATTGGTGTCAGTGGAAGGTATAGTTCCCCATTATTGGTGTCAGTGGAAGGTATAGTTCCCATCATTGGTGTCAGTGGAAGGTATAGTTCCCCATCATTGTGTCAGTGGAAGGTATAGTGCCCCATCATTGGTGTCAGTGGAAGGTAAAGTGCCCCATCATTGGTGTCAGTGGAAGGTATAGTGCCCCATCATTGGTGTCAGTGGAAGGTATAGTGCCCCATCATTGGTGTCAGTGGAAGGTATAGTGCCCCATCATTGGTGTCAGTGGGGAGGAATAGTGCCCCATCATTGGTGTCAGTGGAAGGAATAGTGCCCCATCATTGGTGTCAGTGGAAGGTATAGTGCCCCATCATTGGTGTCAGTGGAAGGTAAAGTGCCCCATCATTGGTATCAGTGGAAGGTTATAGTGCCCCATCATTGGTGTCAGTGGAAGGTATAGTGCCCCATCATTGGTGTCGGCGGAAGGTATAGTGCCCCATCATTGGTGTCGGCGGAAGGTATAGTGCCCCATCATTGGTGTCGGCGGAAGGTATAGTGCCCCATCGTTGGTGTCGGCGGAAGGTATAGTGCCCCATCGTTGGTGTCGGCGGGAGGAATAGTGCCCCATCGTTGGGTGTCGGTGGAAGGAATAGTGCTCCATCATTGTGTCGGTGGAAGGAATAGTGCCCCATCATTGGTGTCGGTGGAAGGTATAGTGCCCCATCATTGGTGTCAGTGGAAGGTATAGTGCCCCATCATTGGTGTCAGTGGAAGGAATAGTGCCCCATCATTGGTGTCAGTGGAAGTATAGTGCCCCATCATTGGTGTCAGTGGAAGGTATAGTGCCCCATCATTGGTGTCAGTGGAAGGTATAGTGCCCCCATCATTTGTGTCAGTGGAAGGTATAGTGCCCCATCATTGGTGTCAGTGGGAGGTATATGTGCCCCATCATTGGTGTCAGTCAGTGGGAGGTATAGTGCCCCATCATTGGTGTCAGTGGGAGGTATAGTGCCCCATCATTGGTGTCAGTGGAAGGTATAGTGCCCCATCATTGGTGTCAGGGGAGGTATAGTGCCCCATCATTGGTGTCAGTGGGGGTAGGTATAGTGCCCCATCATTAGTATCAGTGGGAGGAAATAGTGCCCCATCATTGGTGTCAGTGGGAGGAATAGTGCCCCATCATTGGTGTCAGTGGGAGGAATAGTGCCCCATCATTGGTGTCAGTGGGAGGAATAGTGCCCCATCATTGGTGTCAGTGGGAGGTATAGTGCCCCATCATTGGTGTCAGTGGGAGAATAGTTGCCCCATCATTGGTGTCAGTGGAAGGTATAGTGCCCCATCATTGGTGTCAGTGGGAGGAATAGTGCCCCCATCATTGGTGTCAGTGGAAGGTATAGTGCCCCATCACTGGTGTCAGTGGAAGGTATAGTGCCCCATCATTGGTGTCAGTGGAAGGTATAGTGCCCCATCATTGGTGTCAGTGGAAGGTATAGTGCTCTGTCATTGTTTATGTACAATCAGTGATATAGGAAACGAATTTAAAAAATATATATTACTTGGACTCAACAAAGCCATTGTAACAGACTTTTGAAAGACTCAGTCTGCCTTTATATTTTATATTTGATCATTTCTTTCACCCCGTTCTGGTTGCCATGTAAGAATTCCCTTTGCCCTCAGGCACATAATACTTGAAATCTCATTTACTCGGACACGGCAGGTCAGGTTTTGCGCCTTTGGTGCGTGTGTGCGCGAACCTTCCTTCTGTTCCAGCTAAATGTTTCTGTGTTCCCAGAATTCTCACACATTGGCGACTCCTCTGCGGAGGGCAGAGAAAGCTTTTCATTTCTCAGTTTGAAGTATGACTTCGCTTTGCCTCTAAAGCCTTCGAGATCCTCAACACACTGCCCGGCCCCCCGCCGCCGCAGGGATTTTTTACTGGCAGTCTTCGAGGGCCGCTTAAGACTTCAAGGAGACAGAAAGGAGGATCTTCAAAGTGGCCACCGTTGGGGCCTCCTCCTCGGAGTCTTATTACCAACCACGGGGACAAGGAGCCAGAACAAACGTTGGATCTAAGGCCTGCTATCTGTGTCTGGAAAAGGACCGTCCAGGGAGGGCAAGAGAGCCTGAAGACAAGGGGTCATCCTCCACAAATAACTGCAAGGAGTGGGATGTCGGAGTGACACTTTGGGGCTAGTTATTAAAAAAAGTGCATAGCCTGTCATCCAGGGAATCTGCATGTACTGTACACTCTCCTTTATTTCATAGTCACCCCCCCCCCAGCATTCTCTAGCCATTTGAAGACCTTTTCTGGCACTTTTTGTTTGCATGTAATTACAGCAATTAGTATTTTTGCTAGAGAATTCCTTAGAACCCCCACTATATTTTTTTTTTTTAGAATAAATTTGTGGGTTTTACAATTTTTTTTTACACATGGTATTTTTTCAAATGAAATTTTTGGGGAAAAGATACACTTTTTTGAATTCTAATGCAATAAATACAATACATGACCCAATTTTTTAGCAAAATATAAAAGATGGTGTAGAGCAGGACTTAAAATGTCAAGTCCTGAGCTATAGCCAGGCCTTAGAGTTACTCGCCACCACACAAACACACAAAGACAGACACCTGTACACACACAGACATGTACATACACACACACACACGTACACACACACACAGACATGTACATACACACACAGAAACATGTACACACATGCACAGAGACACCTGTACACACACACAGGCACGTACAGACACACATACACACAGATACATGTACATACACAGAAATACACACGCACAGACACATGTACATACATACACAGAAACATGTATACACACACAGGCATGTACACACACGCATACACACACAAACAGAGACACCTGTATACACACACAGACATATACATACACACACAGAAACATGTACACACACGCACAGAGACACATGTACACACACACAGGCACGTACAGACACGCATACACACAGATACATGTACATACACAGAAATACACACGCACAGATACATGTACATACACAGAAATACACACGCACAGACACATGTACATACACAGAAATACACACGCACAGATACATGTACATACACAGAAATACACATGCACAGACACATGTACATACACAAACACATGTACATACATACACAGACCAGGGGCGGACTGACCATTTGGAAACTCGGGCACTGCCCGAGGGCCCCGGGGTCAGTAGGGGGCCCCATGAAATGCCCCTGGTACCTTTTTCATAGGCTTTTTTGAGTTTGGGCAAGGACACAGGGGCCCCATGATCCCCTAGTGCCCGGGGGGCCCCATGAGTTGTCAGTCCGCCCCTGACACAGACACATGTACATACATACACAGACACATGTACACACAGACATGTACATACATACACACACAGAAACATCTACACACATGCACAGACACACATGTACACACACACGTATACACACACAGGCACGTACAGACACACATACACACAGATACATGTACATACACAGAAATACACACGCACAGACACATGTACACACAGACACATGTACGTACATACACACAAATACACACACATGTACATGTACATACACGCATACACATGTACATACACACAGACACATGTACAATTGTACATGCATACACAGCCACACACAACACAAACACACACACATGTACACGTACACACACCCCATAAAAAGTTGCAGTACTTCGTTGTTCACTCACAGAGCCGGGTACTGCACTCTAGGGGGAGGCAGAGAGCACAGCACACACTCCTTCCTTTGCTTTCACTGCGCTCAGCTATTGAGCAGTCTGACGGCTCCCAGTGCCAATGACAGATCCGGCCCGAGCTCCGAGCCTGCTCAGCAAGACAGCTCTGGGGGACACACTCACCCCCTCCCCACCATAATTTTCACTCACCATTGGCGAGTGGAAATTTCAAGCCCTGGTGTAAACTGATACCAAACACTTTAAAATTGCACATGCGAGCGCTGTAAATTTTACTATCCATAGGTGGCGCTTTAAAAGCCTTTACAGGTTACCCACTTTAGATTTACAAAGGAAGTCTGGTGCTAGAATCACTGCCCATGATCTGACGTTTGCAGCGGTACCTCACATGTGTGGAGCGATCGCTGTTTGAGTGCATGCAGGTCTGACGTGTGCATTTGCCTTTGCGCACAAGCACACTTTATTTGTTATTTAATTTTATTTTTTACACTGTCGCTTTAATTTTTATTTTTTGATCACTTTTATTGCTGTCACAAGGAATGTAAACGTCCCTTGTGACAGCAATAGGCACGTGATAGGTACTCTTTATGGAGGGATCTGGGGTCAATAAGATATATATTTTTAGAAAATAAATTGGTGCGTTTTGCTATTTTTTTACACATGGTATTTGCGCAGCGGTTTTTCAAATGTAATTTTTGGGGAAAAATTAAATGTTCTGAATTTTAATGCAATAAACACAATACATAACCCAATGTGTTAGTAAAATATAAAGGATGGCGTTACACCGAGTAAACGGATACCAAACCAGGGGCAGACTGACCATTCATGCACTCGGCACTGCCCGAGGGCCCAGGGTCAGTAGGGGGCCCCATGAGATGCCCCTGGTACCTTTTTCATAGGCTTTTTTTTGGGTGTGGTTTGAGTGTGGGCGAGGACACAGGGGCCCCATGATCCCCTATTGCCCAGGGGCCC